TTAACGACAATTGTTTAATGGCAATAATTTAATTGCCGCTATTTAATTATATAATAAAAATATTAATGGCTAATATATAATAGCCATTAAAAGTGTATTTATATTACACTAAAGTTTATTATTAACGACAATTATTTATTGAAAAAAACTAGTCCCACATCGATTAGAGATAAGATAATTAAATAATATATAAGTGAGTAATAACTATCACCTTATAAGTTGATTTATAGGGTTGAGTTAGACTCTTAATTCACTATAATAAATTAGTATCAAATCACCCACTATTACCAAGTTCAATAGTTCTATAAAAAAATTAGAGAGTAACTTTCACCTTATAAATCTCACATCTCTTAAGAGATAAGATAATTAAAAAAAATAAATTAAAAAATATATAAATAGAAGACAACCCTCATCTTACAAATCTCACATCGACTAGAGATAAAAAAGAAAGAGTATATAAGTAATGAATTTAAAAAAGAAAATTATAGGAATAAATTATTTTACTGAAAGGCATATAATGCTTGCATTAAATGAATTAATGGTAATCTTTAGGATCAACAAAGAAGACATACGAAATAACTTAAGAAGAAAATTGAAAAGGTCAACTCAAAGTTGTTGTAAAAATCATCTTCTCTGAAGCTACTATAAAAGGATCAAGCCTTCAAGCTACAAACAACATATATATGAGATAGACAAAGAATGTTGTAAATAATAATAGAAAAACATTTACCGGAAAGTGTATATTGAGAAACACACCGAGTCACACAAAGTTAAAGTACTACAAATAAACGTTTCATTGTAAATCCTGTACATAGTTCCTTGTAACGTTTCTCAAATTTATTTATAAGGGTTGAGTCTGGAAAGACTTGCTCAAAAGAATACTTAGTGTTTGAGCCTAGAAAGGCTTGTTGAAAGAATACATGGTGTTTGAGCCTAGAGAAGCTTAATTGAAAAAGAACACTTGGTGTTTAAGCTTGGAGAGGCTTGTTGAAAGAATACTTGAATAGTTGCTTCAAGAGACAAGTCAAAGATTACATAGGTTGAGCCATAAGTGGCTTTTTGAAAGAATACTTATATCTTAAAAAAATAGTGGAACACAATCTGGTTAGATTGAGAATTAGACATAGTCTTTGTGTTTGAGATGAAGAAATATAATGATTTGTTCTCCTTTGTCTGTTGCATTCCAATACCTCGTTTATTAAAGCTTCTACTACTTTACTGCATTTCAAAAACGCAAGTTTTTTATATAAACTATTCAACCCCCTTTCCAGTGTGTATCTTTTTCTCTAACAAACACTCCTTAAATAAAGTTTTAGCAATTACAAAACTCAAAAAAAAAAAATATCCACGTAGAGTGATAGTGTATATATCCAAATGTTGTTGATAGAGATAATGCATTGAACCTTAACTTATAGTGGACCACATACAAAATAACTTTCACATAAAAATAGGAGTGTTTTTCAAAATGAAAATATTCTACTAAAAAAGGATTTACCTACTCCTATCTCTAAAGAAGTAACCAACAAGATGGCCTCCTTTTCAAACCTTGGGTTAAGCTTAACACTAATGGATCACTAAATCTCTTGAACACTAGTGTTAGCTGTGAAAAAATGCTAAGGCATCACATGGGCATTTTCATCATGCGATTTTGTGCAAGTCTTGAAGCATGCATGGCAGACCAAGTTGAGCTATGGGAGATTGTGCTTGGTTTATGGTTAACATAGAATATGGGATTTAGTTCCATTGTGGTAGATTTGCTGACTAGAGATGGATGCAACCATAGCCATCACTACTATCTAATCTATAGAAATTTGAAGGACCATCTTTCATGGCTAGCAAATGTTTTATGGTCTTATGTTTGTAGAGAAGGGAATATGGTGGCTAACTCCCTTGCAAAGCATGGTGCTGACAACTATGTGGATATGGAAATTTTAACTCAGTCCCATCTTTTTGCTTATATAATTTTAATTTGGATATTTCTTCTTTTAGTTAATTTTTTAATTATTTTAATACACTCATTTAAAAATTAAAAAAAAAATTGACACCTAAATTTTATTATAGATCTGCATTCTCTAGGTTACTTTTATCACAAAGGAAATCTGACATCTTTTATGCATCTATTTGTTTTTTCATCATATGAAAGACTCTAAAGATGTGAAAGGTATCAAACTTAGCTTCTCCTATTTTTACTCCAATCTCTTTTCTCTAACCATTAGTTTAATTTTAGTGATCTCTTTTATATTTATACTTGTATATAAAAGAGAGTTTTTTTTTTTGTGTATACATTATTTTTTAGGAGTGCAAGCGGATTAGGTTGGATCAAGTTTGAATAAATTTGTTACCTGACATGATTAACATTTAATGGATTGGATTGAATTAGGTTTGTACAATTTGTTTTAAAAACTCAACCCAACCCAACCTAACTTATTAATGATTGGGTTGGGTTGAGATGGATCAATTAAGTCAATATAATTAAATTTATCTATTTCTTATGAAAATTTAAATATTTTAATATAGATATAAATCATTTGATGCATTGTTACATATACAATATTATCAACCTATAAAACAAATAATAATATAAATTAAATTCTAAAATTTATTAATTTATTACATTATTATCAACTCAAAAATAACATTAATTAATAAAATAAAATTTAAAATAAATAAATAAATTATATTGTTAGAATGTTATCAACTTAAAATTACAAACTTGTTATCGAATAAGAATAATATTAAATATTATCTTGAACAAATGATCGTTCAAACATTATTATTATTATTATTATTATTATTATTATTATTATTATTATTATATGACTGGATCAAGTTGGCTTATGAGTAAAAAATATAAAATTTATTATCTACAGGATCAAATTTTAATCAAATTGAATTATATCTTATTTAAACATTAAAAAAAATCTAATTGACGAGTTAGTTATATTTGTTTACAGTCATGTTAATTTTAATAGCTTTAGCTTTTAATAAAAATTACGTGATAATAATTACTATAAATAAAAATAAATTATTTAGAAATTTTATTCTTAAAATTGATAGCAACTAAACATTACTTCCACCAACAAATCTATTCAACACGCTCAGCAGACAGATATTACCTTATTTTGATTTGATGTAGGAGATTTGACGAGTTTTTTAGGCGGTGCCATAGATTCAAATTGTGACAGGGATATGGCAGCGTGGCATTTCCTCAAACAGTTAACGTGCACCGTTGGTGCTCATTCTCCCACCCTCTCCCGCCGCCTCGGACACTACTCATCACTCGTTCCCCTTCTCTCCAACCATCACAAAATCTTTAGGTACCAATGGCTTCCCCATTTTCACGTCAATCTTCATGCAAAGTTTTCCACAACTCTATCAGACACGTCCTTGGCTTCACCAGTTCCTTATACTTCCGTTCTGATTCACTGTCCTAAAGACACTGCAGTAAGCTTCTTTTATCCCAATGTGCACTGTAATGCGGCATTGTCATCATTAAGTCAGTGACTCACTAACTGGGTATGTTAAGAACGTGAAAAAGATCAAAACTTTAAGGGTTTAATTACCCATCTATATTTTTATGAATTTTATTTTTTTAATTTATGTTATTAAAAATGTTTTATTATGTTTTAATGTTTATAGTTTCATAAAGTTCACTCTTTATAGAAACGAGCTAAAAGGAGATAAAATTGATATATACATAAAATAAAATATAATATTTTTTAATCATAGAATTTAGGATTTGGGGTTTATGAAACAACAGCGAATTAAAGGATAATTAAACCAAGTTACCCATTTCCTGAAATTGGTGTTTGTTAACAGAGCAAACAGCTATGCCTAGCTTGATGGTGCACCAAGAAAATATAGAGAAAATTTTAGTTTGTGGGTATATATAGACTAATATTTGTGACATTAGTGTTATTGGGCGTGTCTTGTTATGATTCTTTACTCAGGGAAATGTGCCAACTTATAAGGTGTTAATGATGGTTTGCTTCTAGTCAAACTGACGAAAGTGTTACTATTTATGTTAATGTGAACAAAAGAAGAAAACAAATTGACAGAATCTCACTAAACTGAAATATGAGTTAATTTAAGGAGCTAGAGTGTATTGTTAAAGCAACTGAAGTATGTGTTCTGTGTGGATTGAAGTGTCTGCTGGACTTCAATAAGATATTTTTTCTTAATTTTAAACCACATTATAGCATAGAAACATTGTTATGTTGCCGAAATGTTTAACCACTCTTCCTCTTTGTGCCAACAAGGATGTGCTTGCAGAAGCTCTTTTATGCTTTGGTGCAAGTTCTGTTAGTATGGATCAAGATGATGTCTCTCAAAGTATTGATGAGGTAAACTTGCTGATATTATTTTATAGTTTATTTCTTATTTTAATTTTTTTCCTTATAATTTTTGTTGTGTCCTTTTGATTCTAATCAAATTTGTTTCGAACACCAAACCATGCCTTGGGGGATTGTTAGAGACCATATACAGATTTGCAAAGAAAACAGACAGGTTTTGTTACTCGCCCTCAGCAATGAATTTTGGTGATTGCTCCATATCAACTTTTCCTCAAGATCACCATAGAGAATTCCAGCCATGGATAAGAATAATTTGGTAGAAACTGTCTTGCCAATAAAGGAGCAAGTATCACTAAAATCCAAACAAAAAATCTGTTTAGCCTTTACCCACCAAGCGGGCTTTGAGCCTTTCAACTTTGCCTCAAGACCAATTTTCATTGTGAAAATCCAGCTGCAGTTAACAGTAGGAGGTTATGCTGTATTTTGAATTCACATATTTAATTCAAGACCTGATTTATTTTAGAACCACCCTACTTGATCAAAGTAAATCCTAAAGTTATATGCTGTGTCTCAAAATTATTAATAAACATAAATACCAAAATCATGCAAAACAATTAAGTCTCTAATCATAATCATTCCCAAAATTATAATTTTCAGTTTGATATTACGCTGTTGCTCCCTTGCTCATATTGATATCATATTTCCTGCAGATTTGCATTAGTTCAATATTTCATGAAGTTGAGGATATAAATGTGAGCATTTCACATGCTGCTGATTCTATTGGTTTGAAGGAGATACCAAGATATGTGGTTAAAACTAATGAGGAGGACTGGGTGAAGAAATCTCAGGTCCGTCTTTGCTTCTTTCATTCACCTTTTTTTCACTGTTTGTTTGTCTTGAAATGTTGCTGAGGAGATTAAACCAAATGCATGTGCAAATTCACTAAAGAGTGAATTATTTTTTTTATTGCATCATTTCCACATTTCCCCTCCACCTAGTAGTTGTTCTCCTATATATGTAACATAGTTTGTGATGAGAAAGGATGTCTTTCTTTATTTTTTCACTTTGAATAAGGGTAAAAAGAATTTCTGTGTCCATCTTTAGTGTTTTTCTCAAAACAATTTTTTGTAACCAGTAACCACAGGGTGCAAGTGAAAACCATAAAAGTATCCTGTGTGAACCAGAAGCTATTTTTGCATGTCAAGTTGTAATATTTATCTTTGAGAAGGAAAAGACTTGTTGATATAAAAAGACCTATTGCTGACCACTTATTTATTACTAATTGTTTGATTTTTCTCACACCAGCACTATACTGTTTCTGTACTTAACATTCTTATGTAGGGCATGCTGTAAAATGGGGAAATCATTCATATTGCTGAAAATTATCAAAGCTGGATTTTATAGAAAATAACTTAGCAAATTCATCTATCTATGCTTACAGGAATCATTTCATCCAGTTCAAGTTACTGAAGGCCTATGGGTGGTGCCCAAGTGGTGCACTCCACCAGTATGACTATCTTAAACTTTCTCCATAAATAACGAGTAGCTTACTTGCTATGGTTGCTGATTGTGCTTGCCAGCTCTATTAATTTATTTTGGCAACTTCTCTAAATTTCCTTGTTTTCCCTCTTTAACTTGGATATTTTAAGTGATAGAGGCTGTAATCTCTTAAGGGAAATTTCTCTTAGTGAACCCTGAATTTTATTATACAGGATGTTCAAGCAACAAATATATTTGTCAATCCAGGACTTGCCTTTGGAACTGGAGAACACAGCACTACCAAACTCTGTCTATTACTCTTACAAGGTTATATTAAAGGAGGTGAGCACATTCTGGACTATGGCACAGGAACTGGAATTCTTGCAATTGCTGCTCTTAAGGTAATCAATTGTTGATGTGCATACCTTAAGGTTGAAACTAAAATGAAAAGAACCATAAAGGAAAGACATGCTTAAGACCACACCAACAGTCATATGTCCGTTTTAACTCTACTTATCTAACAATTTGGTTTTCTACTTTAACTTGGGATTAAGTAGTAGTGTTGATTACTGCTTCTCCGCAAAAACTTAATTATACTGATGTGTCTAACATATTGCTAGTTTTCATGCACTTTTAAGCGTTCTCTTATGTATCGTAAATCATAATAAAATGTTGACTGTAAATTTGATTAGAAACTGCTGTAGAGATACATGCATGTGCATTGACAAATGATGGGAAATTATTTAACTTTAAATACATAGACATTCTGTGTCTAAACATGTGATTTGGTTAGTTCATTATCTTCCAAACAATAATATTCTTTTAAATGTGGAAACTGCTAGACCTACCTATTGAGTAGCATCTTCAACTGGAAGTATTGTTCATTGATTAAAATGAAAGAAAAAAATATATATATATATATATATATACATATGCAAAATTTTCTGCTAAATATGTGCATCCAGTTATCCATATATTTTGGAAAGGCAAATATGTTTTGATTTGTTTGCTATTTTTTCTTCATAATAAGAATACCATATCTTTTTCTAGAACTTATTTGATATATTGTTGCCATGTGTAATTTTTATCCAACAATTTCATGTTAGTACTTTTGTTTTGATTTTTTCAGCTTTTAAAAATACTGCCAAAAATATCTGTGTAGCAACTTTCTCGTGTTTACTCCCTATAAGCGGAAAAAAATTTAATGTTGGTCTTGAATATAAGCAAATCTCTACTAATTTTATTTTATTAATGCTACCATCTCTAAAATATCCCTTTATTTAGTTGAGATTATATGTTCAATGACCTGTTTTATTCTTTATATGATGTTCCAAAAAAATGGGTAGTTTAGGAAAATAGGTTATTTTTTAAATGGTGTTAGTCATTAGTGAGATCAAAATCAAATGATGTTAAATAACTTTCATAGTTAGCGGGAATTTAGTTTTCTTTGCTCATATCCGAAACCGGAGAGGACGTTATATCTTATATAGCTGACTCATTAATTCCAATTTTGACATCCTGTTGCCTTGTCAGTTTGGAGCTGCCTTTGCTGTTGGAGTTGATGTAGATTCACAAGCAATTGCATCAGCATCGGAAAATGCTTCCCTGAACAACATCGGACCAGACAAACTGCAACTGCACCTGGTTTCCTGCAAAGCCTCTTCATCCTCCCAAAATGACTTGACATTTGGAGTTATGGAGGGACAAAACACTTGTGAGATACAAGCAGTCATTACTCACAGGGATAAGTTTGATGTGGTCATTGCAAATATACTCTTAAATCCTTTACTGGATCTTGCTGATCAAATTATTTCTTTAGCAAAGCCTGGAGCAGTTGTTGGTCTCTCTGGTATCTTATCTGAGCAGGTAATTTAGTCAAAGCAAATAGATTTTTGGGTTAAACATCTTTTTCGTTCCTAATTCCCATAAACATGTAAAAGTTTGTTTTTAGTCTCCTATTTTTAAAATGTCGACTTTTAATTCTCATTTTTTTTAAAACGCATCAAGTTTTATTCTTGTCTCACTCTGTTGATCCAATTTAACAGTAACACCCTGTCACTAAACACACACACACACACACACATATATATATATATTAATTTAAAGGTCCAAAAAGAGTGGTGCTGGCTAAACATTACTGTTAAATTTGATTAATAGTTAGTGGTGAAGATAAAATCTAACACATTTTAGGAAAAAAGTATCAAAAGTCGACTTCTTACAAATGTTTTACGTATGTGTAGATACGAAACAGATGTTTAAACCAAAATTTTCTTATTCAAAATGCAGCCATCTGTTTGTTGTTCCTTGTAGTTAGTGTTCGGGGAAACTGCTTCTCAATGCCATCATGCATCTGAGGTCATTGCCATTGTGTTTTATGCAGGTCCAGTACATCGTAGAAAGATATTCACCATTTTTGGAAGGCATAGAAGTGTCCAAAATGGATGACTGGGCCTGCGTGAGTGGCAGAAAAAAGTAGATAGATATTTGAATGTGAGATAACTCATTAAGTCACTTGGACATGCACTTTGGAATGATCAATTTGTCTTTGGTTGTTGTAATTCAGTTTCCAAGCAGAAAATTACAGTATAAGAAAAGGCACCCCAAAGAGTATAAGAGTAGTAATGTTACTTGTCGAACAATTTGTGTAATACAATTTTTGTGTTTATCTCTTTCCATCACTTCATTTATTATAGAGATATTAATAATGAAGAGAGACAAATACAAAAGTAGTATTGTACAAGTTGTATAATTTTTGTTGTATATATAGCATTTCTCAAAGTTTAATACCCTGACTGAAAAGGAAATCACATTTGGTATCAAAGCATGAGTTTGAAAATTCATTATTATTTTATGGTACTTAATTTTAATCACTATTATCGGTTTATTACTTCTAAATTATCATCAAGTGATTAAATTTTAGGAATTTAACTATTAATGTTCCCACTACATGAATTTATAATTAAGGATATTTTATATGATAAAAATGAGTAGAGTTATTATCGAGTGAAATGATTGTAAGATACACATGGAATCATGAAGATCAAGTCCTTCAAAGCTTAAAAGGCCGAAGATGTATATGCTGATGTTACTCATTTTTTAAGAAGTTGACTTAAGAAAAATTTTTCATTTTTAAATTTAGAACAATTTTTCTTTTTAGTATTTTTTTAACTTGAACACTCTTAAGAAAGTCATAATTTTTTAAAAATTTTACATATTACTATTATTATTTATTAGAATAAAAAAATACTTTGTGTTTCTGTATATTCTGTTTTAAAAATAATAACAAAATAAATGATAAAAATAATTTAAGTTAAATATGTGTGAGTTTTTAATTATTAATGGGTGTGGATGGCTTTTAATAGCTATTTAGAGGGTGAGAAGTATAAACAATAAATTTATGAAAAATTTGAGAAAAATGATAATAAATATTAAATAAAAAATATGGAAGAGAAAGAAAGTTAAGGGCAAAATCATCAATAAAATATATGTAAAAAGACATGTCAATTTTATTGATAGTATAGATTTCTCTTTCTAATTATTTTGAATGAGAAATAATATGATAAAGTATGGTATATACTTAATTTTCATTTGTCCGTGGATATAATTATATCCATTTTAATTTTTATTACGAAAAAATGTATAAACAATAATATTTTAATAATTTTATAATTATATAAAAAGTAATATAATCAATTAAATTAAATCTAAATTCTAAATTGATTAATTAAAGATACTTATTTGATTGTCAAAAATTATATATATATATGAATGACTCATTTACTTAAAGAGTAAGTCTTGTTAGACTTTATTCAATAACTCATGTTTTATATTAAATTTCAATAATTCAACCATTGAAATAAAAGTTTTTTATGTATATATCAAGTAGATCATTAAAATTTAATCATTAAGAACTTTTAATTTAACGGTTACATTATTAAAATATAATGTAGAATATGAGTTATATCAAGTGGAATAAGTGTAAGTAAATCTCTTCTATATATATGAATTAAAAATATAAAGGGAAGAAGTTCTACAACAAGTTCATTCCCTCCTAAACTTCCTCCAACGAAACCAAATATAAATGTGACTATATAAGATTTTTTATAAAATAAATAAAAATAATATGAAAAACAATCAATTTACTAAAAAGAAGTATAAAACCAATACTAATAACTACAACATTTTACACATATTATGCCAAATATAACTTCTTATATTAAGTTTACATAATTGCATCATCTTTTAAAATGATATAAAACATAAAAAGAAAATTATTTTACTAGATAAATATTAATTTATTATTGATAAGAAAAATCTATAGTATATATATATATATATATATATATATAAAGGGAGAATAACTTCTTGCTTCCAAAAGATAAAAAAATGGATAAAAATATTTTAATAATTACTAATTATTATATTTGTAAAATCTAATTGTTATACATTGTGACACCCTTCTACCCCATAATAAATAAGTAACAACAATAAGAATAATTCAATAAATATAACATCAAGAAGGGTCCACATATTTTAATAAAAACTCATAGGTTCACAAGTCTTGAAATAAATAGAAATAATAATAATAATAATAATAATAAAGTTTTACTCTTAAAAGAAACTTATCAAGATCTTTAAAGAAAAATGAAAGGAATCCAGAATTTACAAATATAAGGTGAGCCACCCAAGCAAGAACTTCAAAGCCTCCAACTTTTGATGTTTGACAGCAACATGCAATCACTACACCAAAACTAGTTTTTTGTGGCAATTAACTTATTATTTAGCGGCCATATAAATGACCATAATTTTTTTACCAGCATTTAATTAATGGCTGGTGTATCCAGTGTCGCTAATACTATTACCGGCATTTATATAAAATGCCGGTAAAGATCTACTAAATTGTCGGAAAAACTTATTTTTTTTAGTGAGAGGGTTCAAACGATACTGATGTAACTTTTATTAAGTATTATATCTTTCAATAACTTTATATTAAATATGAATTTTGTAAATTCAATCATTAGATTGAAAATTCTTTACTCTTAGATCATATATACAAAATTTTATATTAATTTAAGATGATTTGATACTTCATTTTTATAAAACAAAATTGACATAATATATACATTTCAAAACATAATAAAATATGTTTATATCAAATTTTGTTTATATTAATCTAACTGTCGAATTATAACTTCATATCACTTTATATGTTTATATCAAATTTTATTAAAATTAAATAACAACTTGAAAATAATCAAAGTGTTGTTATCCAGTTTGGATTTGGAAAGATTTGATGCTGGAGAACTAGGAGAGTTAATAATGGCTTGTGGAATAGAGGAGATGTATAAGGATATGGATGAAAGAATGGTTATGGTAGCTTTGTTCTGTGTTCAATAAAGGCCAGAATCAAGACCAATTATGAGTGATGCGGTGAAAATGTTGGAAGGCTCGGTTGAAATTTCTAAACCTTTGAACCCATTTCAGCATATCATGGATGCAATTTTCCCACGTCATTCTGTGCAAGCATCCCAAACTGATACTAGCACAAGTATTAATTCTACTAGCTCTTCTGCTTTAGCAACCAAACCAGTCATTGTATATGATACTCCTATGATGACATAGAATTGACCTCTACCACCTGTGATTAATATGACAGACTATTTGATGAAGGTTTTCCATTGATTAGAAGTTATAAAATATTTCTTTTCTACTATTGTAAATCTTTATTTCTCCTTTTTTTTTGGTGATAATGTCTTATAAACATCTGGTTTCTTTACTTAATAACGCTGGGAAGAACTCCCCAATTGATAGACTAGAACAACCATACTCTGCAAAGGGTGTATATTCCCAATACTCAGGCTAAATTTTCTCATGAATGACAAGATGATCTCTTTCTTCTCCTCTCCCCTCTTCTTTGTAAGCAACCTACCATAAACTTAACTAAATTGTGGGTATCTACCAATCTCCTTTTATTCCCCTCCCCCCTTCACTTTCTAAAACATTATTTAATATTTGAATTAAAAGAAGTATATGAAAGTATATATCTAGAGTAGAACCCCGAACAACATCATCTATAACAGGTCTAGATTTGGACAGATGCTCTGCCAATTCAAATTTTGTTGTCCAAATAAGGGCCTGTCTGTCTGATATAATGTTATGACGTGAATCAGTTTAAGCACATAAAGAATGGGATTTAACCAGGTCATCTAGTTCAACCATCATAATAATAGAAGTGTTAATTCTGCCTCTTATGTGATTGTAAAGGAACTATGCTACTAATACTGTCATGAGGAAGTAAGAGATTGAATTAGCCACTAGCAAAGGGGTATAATATAAGGAAGACTACATACTACTTGATAGAAGGTTTCTTAGCTTAAATTATGTTGTCAAATGTTTTCCTTTGTAATTTGATTCTGATGAATATCTATTCTATATTGTTAAATAAATGAAGTCAACACATATCTTTAAATAAATAAATCTATTGTATATAATTTCAAACTTGGAGACAATGTTGTTAAATAAAAAGACATTATAAAAAAATATTTCTTAAAAATAAAATAAAAATGGAAAAAAAAAATATATTTTATATAAAAGAAAACTATTTTTAAAAATATTTCAACTAAATTAAAAAAAATCAAATTTCACCTTAGTACTATAGATTATATGTAATTAACTATCAAAATTAATGTTTTATTATATTTCTATTTTAATATGATTACTAATAATTACAAATATTTATAAGTCTATAAATAAATATATAATGAGAACAACCCCTGCGATATATTTTTTTCATCCATAACTTTGATATATATAAAGGGCAAGGAAGATGTGTCTAAAGTGCTCAAAGTTGTATCTGAGGACTCTGTGATTTTTAATAGAGGTGTTTTTGGGAATATATTTACACTGGTTTAAGGGGATTCAGCGTGCATTAAAAAATATTGATTCTGTTAGTTAGATTATGCTTTGGTAGAATTTTTTACAAGAGTATGAGCAAATTCTCTTCCAAGAAGAAACTCTTTGGTTCCAAAGATCTAGAGAGAAGTGGATTCGGCTGGGTAGTAGAAATTCAAGATTTTTTCACGCTCAAACAGTTATTAGAAGGAAGCTAAATAAGATTCATGGGCTTTTTCTTCCGTCAAGGATTAGGTTTTACAATGGGAGGTCAATAAGTTCTTTCGAGATCTATTTTGTATTAGCGAGGGGACTGGGGTATCCTCAGTTTGTAAGGTTGCTCATAGCTTACCGGGGCAGGTGTGTAGGGCCCTTGGTGCTTCAGTTTCGAAGGAAAAAGTGTTCTCTACCTCATGAGTATGAAATCATATAAGGCTTCGGGGCCTCATGACTTTCAACCTATCTTCTTCAAGATGTTCTAGGAGGATGTGTGTAATAAAGTTTGGAAGTTCGTTGCCTTGGTGTTCACATTCGGTTCATTTGCCAAAGATGTCACTAATACATTACTTGTTCTCATTCCTAAAGCTCAATGATCTTTTGTGATTTGTTTGAATGAGGAAATTTACAAATTCAAAGAATTTTAAATTCTTGATATTTGAATTATTCTGATTTCAATTTCTATCATTCTTAAAATATTTTGTTTAGATAAAGTCATGGTGAGTAAACTTAAGTTGTATTTCGATAACTTTATTAACCCTTGGAAAAGTAGTTTTATCTCGGGGAGAAACATGAAGGATAATGCTCTAAGAGTTGGTCCATCATATGGATAAATCCAAGAATGAGATAGAGTCCTTGATTTTCAAGCTGGATCTTGAAAAAGCTTATCATCGTGAGAATTGGGATTTTTTGAAGCAAACTATTGGGTAGTTTAGGTTTCCATAGATTACGAATTCAT